TATATATATATATATATGCGTGTCTGCGTGTGCTATAAATAATGAAGAACAGACTTCTTGATGACTTTTAAATGAAGTTTATCAACTCTGACTCAAAAAATTATCCCGAGCTTCATGTCAGATGATAAATATATTGATGGTGTATCAATTATTTTAAAAATAAAATTTTAATATTTATATTAATTTTTTATTAAAAATATTAGATATATAACAAATTAATGAATGGTAAAATATTTATTTCAATTATGTGCTAATATTTTTTGGAGTTATTATAAAAAAAAAGAATTAATTGGAACATTTTAATTTATTTTTTTCTATATTAAATTATTTTAAACATTTTTTTATAAAACAAATTAATAAATATATAATCATCAAATTTAATAATTTTATTGAGATTATGAAATAAATTAATAAATGATAATACATATTATATTTATGTAATTTTTTAATCAAAATTGTCAAGGTGTGTTACTTATTTAATCCACATTTGATAATAAAATATTAAGGATATTTATCAATATCATAATTTGTGCTCCCACTAAAAAAATTTCTAGCTTTGTGAAATGAAAAAAAGCTAGACCTCCCATGGCAATGATTATCCATAAGTGAGATGGCATCCACCCCTTTTACTTCCGGACACCGGATGTCCGGACAGCGGCCCAAATGCAGAAAAGCAGGAAAGGAACCAGACCTCGGCCCTCCTCGCTTCACACGAGTCATTGTCCGGACATCCAGAATCCAGATGCAAAATTTTCTCCAGAAAACGAGCACGTGGCCATGAAGAGCAAATCAACTCCCCCATCCTCGTCCTAATCCGACCCATCTGAATTTCTAATACCAAGAAGCTTCGTGCACCATAGCCAGATCAGGACAAGCAACTCCTACCCCACCTCATCTTCTTAGTTATTATATTTACATTAAACTTAGCATTAACAATATATAGCACGATTTTAATCGAAGCAAGCATTAACAATAAATTTGTGTGCATGCAGACAAAAAGAGGTTACAGGCCGCACAGGCCGACGCAAAGAGCGGCTGGAAGAAGCATTATTCAGTAACTTTTAACTTTCTCATTTTTCTTATTTAAAAGCGCCGGCTAACTGGGCCTACATATGCTCCAACGAAAGCAACAACAAAAAGATCGAAAGAGCACATCCGGTTCGTAAATTGTTAGCCGATGGCTCGGAATAAAGCTCATCTGTGGGACAAATATTTGCATGCGGATTATGCACGCAGAGCTGCGTGCGTAATAACCTCTCATTAACATCTGTTTCGTGGTTATTAGGGGGTTATTGAGAGGTTATTGATATATTAATTTTAATAATATATAACTCCAATAACCTTCGCGGATTTTATTTCAATGTTATTCATAGGTTATTATGAGGGTATTGCAGGGTTAATGGAGTACGCACGTAGAGCTGTGTGCGTATTCCATATGCAAATATTTCCCTATTTGTGGATGGTGTGATGTCAAGTTTTCTTGAGGTAGTGCTAGGTGATTGATCGTTCAGACGTACGTTTATTTGAATGCAATATCATTTTATCTTAAAAAGCTCATGCATATACACCCATTTATAAATTCGTGAAATCTTTACTTTGTGATATGAGAGCAGGAGTTATCAACTAAGGCTATAGTGGGTTTAGTTTATTAGATTGGCTTTCAAAGTAATATAACATAATTAATAAATTAAATTTTATGTTACTCTCATCTCAAAATAAATCCTATAATATACCTTGATCCAAATATATATTTCATATTTTAATTTTAGTCTCTATATATATATATATATATAATATTTGGGGAGGACGTATATATATAGAGTGACTCCACTATCCATATAAACGTCATCCGGAAGTAATATCACTTCCACGGGAAATATTTACATACGGAAGACGCATGCAGTTCTGCGTATGTCTTCCATTAACCCCGTAATACCCTGATAATAAACAATGAATAACATTGAAATAGAACCCACGAAGATTATTAGAAAGTTATTGGGGTTATCTGTTATTGAAATTAATACTTCAATAAACTCTCAATAACCCCTCAATAACATCCGCTTCTAATAACAGCGAAGCAGAGGTTATTATTCACGCAACTCTACGTGCGTATTCGGTATGAAAATATCTCCTTACTTCCACACGCTTATATATAGAGTTTCACACGTGTCACTCTCACACTATCCAAACCCTTCTCTAATACTTGGCTATAAATATAAAACACTGGCTAAGGCTGCAGTGATAATTAGGGTTAACTGTGCTCCGCAAACACAACCCGGAAGCCGAAGGGAAAAAAGGAAAGAAAAATAAGGATGGGAAGGCCGGAGAAGGAAGGGAGGTGTATGAGGCATCCAATCCACAAGCACTCCAATGGCGTCTGCCCATATTGCCTCTACGATAGGCTCTCCGATTTCTCCACCTCGTCTTCCTCATCCACCAACAAATCTGCTTCCTCAACTTCCTCCTCCACTGTTTATTATTCTTCTTATGATTCCGAGCTCTCTTCCATGGATGTGTCCCCCCCGCATGAGAAACTCATGGCTGAGAGTATGTTGAAGCAGTTAGAGATGTTGAGGAAGAGCAAGTCTGTAGGTTTTGATAAGGAAGCAGAGCGGGGGCAGGAGGAGGAAAAGAAGAAGATGGGGAAGAAAGGAAGGTTTTGGATTAGGTTTATGATGGGGGGAGGTGGGAGGAGAAAGCAGAGGGAAGTTGGGTTGTCTCATTCGAAAACCATGAAGGAGAAGTCTTCTCACAAGTGGACTAATTTCTTCTCTTAGTTTTTTTTTTTTGGGGCTTTTTCAATGTTGAGTTCCAAGTTCCAAGCTTTTTTATTTTATAGGTTGTGATTGAAGCTGCAAGTTGTTAAATTTGGGTTTTGAAAGCTGTTATTTCAGGATTAATTTCTGGAAAAAAACTAAAGTGTAAATTTTGATTTGAATAAGATGATTTTGCACCATGAAAGCAGGAAAATTGGCCCATGTTGATGCTTTTTTTAATGCTTGCGTTTGGTTCCATGCGTTCTGAACCGCCAAATCTCTCTGTTTGTGCTATAACCAATGAATTCGTTCTTAAAGACAAGATTTTTATTTCAACGAAATAGTTAGATAAGAATAAATTAAGCTTTGTAGATGACATACTTTCAAGGCTTTGTTTATCGAAGCTCATGCATGATATTATAAATTTTCAGCCAATATTTTGCAAGAAATTTTACGGCTTTTTATTTTGCTGTCCAAAATGCAACGGATTAGCGTTGAATTTGGTAAGGAGGGAAAAGGAGTGAAAGAGGTTGGTAGAGAAGAACATGAAGAAGCGGAAATGGAAGAAGAAACAGGTTTTCCATTTATAAGTATCTTCTTACTTCCATCACCCTATTCTCATAGCTAACCCCCAACTTCTCCATTGTTTTTTCCCCCTATTTTTTCTTTCCTCCTTTATTTAGATTTATTTATTTATTTATTTTTACTTTAAGTGATAAATTTCAAATTAGATTGGATTTGTGATCTTGAGAAAATAATATTTTTTATAACCACTAGGCCATGTGTCTTTCACTTCCTCGTTCTGTTCGCATGGTGGCTTGAGAGCTGCATTTGATGGTGGAAAGCTAAGCCTGTGTTCGGTCGTGTTACATAGCTTTGCATATGCACTTTTGATCTCTTGCTATCCTTTATTGTTGCTTTCCTTCCTTCTATGAATGTTAAAAGTAAATCTTTTTGTTTCTTTTCGACTACCTACAATGTCTAAAGCCTTTACCGAAAAAGTGAAAAATTATTACGTGCAGATAATATAGGTGCGAATGAGTGTGGATTTAAAATGATCAAAATGGGCTCATGATAGGCAAACGAGCATCGAATAGGGTCACGATACAAGACATCAAAATGGATTATGGAGTATGATGCAAGAATCTAAACCCCCCTCCTAAATCTCCACCTTTCACTCCTACTCGAAGCCCTCTCGAGGAAGTCTCAATAGGCAAGTGAACATTTCCCTCGCCTTTCTCCTCTTCCTCACATTATTATTTGCTAATATCCACTAAAGCTGTCGAAGATCTGCCTGCTTTTGTAAATCTGGGATTTAAGGCAGAGCAGAAAATGAATCAGATTTGTTAAATAAGATATTAAAGTTGCCATTTCAGCCATTTCACAAGATTTAACTTAAATCCAGATTAGATTATGCTTGAAGAGGTTTCAAATTGTACCTTATATGGTTCACTCTTGGTTATCACAATAAGAAAAAAAAATCCAAATGTCAAGAGCTTCCATTGTCCTTTGTTCAAAATGTTAAAAAATAATTCTCTTTTGAAAAGTAATCTTCAAGAACCGAAGAATGAGATCTAGCTCCTATCAGATGTGTTATAGAGAAGAGATTTTACAGTATTCACTCTTGGTTGCTGTAAAAAAGTTTAGATGCGTGCTGGAAGGTCCGCGATGATAGAGTAATAAATTATTTTCTTAGCATGACATGAAAACTCAACACTCAGGTAATTAAAGAAAAGTAAGAGAAGACACCTTTTTTTAAGTGAAAACACTTGAAAGGGGGAAAAACCACGAGACAACCTAGTAGAGTACATATGTATGTTCTTCTCCTGAATTAGGGACGATGGATTTACAAAGCTGATCATTGTAAATGTCAACATTAGTTTATATTCTAGCTGTAATAAATGTATTTCTCAGTGATAATAGATTGCAAGGGCTATTGTTGATTGGTATGAAGATATAAGTTCATTACAGATAGTGGATATAATAACAACTTGTTGTATAGGTTGTAATTGAAAGTCAAGGTAGTTTTTCGTTTTGTGGGATGCAGATGATTGTTTCAAGAACGTCAGTTGGCTACAAAGACCATAATAAAGACCTGCAAGAGCTGTGAGCCACGTAGGCTGTAGTTGATCATATAGGGCGTAGTCCTGAGCTATGATGATTTCAATAGGTTGTAGATGACAAAGTTGAGATCTATGTAAACTATATTTGTTTACGTAGGTCATAATGTTGTACTGCGATGATGTCCATAGGTCATATTGGTCAAGTTCAGAAGCTGCACAAGCTATGAGCCACATAAGTCAAAGTAGTGAACTGTGGTAATGTATTTAGGTCATAGAGCTTGGAGTCGAGAGCTGTAGGAGTCGTGAAATATGTAGATCATAGTTGGTCACACAGACTGTAGTGGTGGGCTGTGGTTGAGAGGCGTCATCACACCATATGTGGGGTGTGTTGTTACACCATCATTAGGTTTGTCATTGCACCATATTCAGGGTGCATTGTTACACCCTCTTTGAGAGGCTTCATTGCACAACATGTGGGGTGTGTTATTTTGTAAGATGTCTTGTTACTATGTAATACATGTCGAGATTTTGTAGTGTACACCGTGATTCCATAAAAGACTTTACTATAAAGAGCAGGTGGCAATCGATGGTAGTAGAGTATGACTGGTAGGTGTTGGACTATAGTGGTTGGTAGCTACAAAAGTGAGAGGTATTCGTCCTTCAGATACGACGATGTCGGACTTTAGCTCATTCCTTAAGATTTAGTCTTTAAACCCTCTTAGAAGGGGGCAGGGCTCTATTTATAGATTCTAAGAGAGACATTTCTTTAAAAAAAGGAAGGAATCTGAACCACTCTATCAGACAACCCAGAAAGATTCCCTCAATCAGATGGCATTTTGTGGGCATTTAAGTGCCTCCATGATGTCAAAATTGAGTAATCTTGGTCTCATTGGATTCATCTTATTGATACTCTCAATTTAACCATAGGCTCGTCAGATTTGGAATTTGTTTGACCATCCATTTATGTATTGAAAGCTTTTAAATTGATTTAACAGCTTGATCCGGGCTTGATTTGGTTTAGATAAGACCAATTTTAATACCGTTGGTTTCATCTCGTCGAGTTCATTATTTTGGCTGTAAGCTTGCTAATATCAAAGTTTTGGATGATTTTTAATTGAATTTTAAATGAGTCTTGCTCAAATATCACCTAAAGATCTATATCATGCCTCGAGATTCATGCCAAATGATATATTTGTTGATGATGTATCAAGTTTTACTCTCCAAAGTAATATATATATATATATATATATATATATAGATATATATATATATATATATGTATATATATATATATATATGCTAATACTCCTTGATGATTATTTCTATTCAAATTTTAATATGAGGTAGACTATGAGAAGATTAGAAATTGACTTACATAGTTTATGTATGGTGGAAAATTAGTATTAAAATATGGCATTTTGATTTTCAATAAGCGAATATGGAAATTTATAATGGAATTTCTTAAGAAAATGTATTTGGACAAAATTTTCTAAATTTAATATTTCTTGATTGAATGAATTAAAATAATTTCTTTTAAGTGGTAAGTTTAAGTTTTCTTTCTTTGACAGTTAATAAAACCACTATTCTAATTCATGTCTTAGTTTGCTCGTGTTTTTGTTTAAATGAAATATCCTTCAATACTTCATGACCAAATCACTATAAATATTAACAATGATTTAAAATTTCACAGAAAGTTATTTATAAAAAAAATTTCACAGAAAGTTATTTATAATTTGTATCATGTATAGCTCCTTTTCACACAATAAAAACTCATACCTATCGTTTTAACTCACTACCCACTTTTACTTAATTAGATAACCTTAAATCCCATCTCATGTTTTAGTGGAAACAAGAACCTTGATAGACCATAGTTTTTCTCCCCATTTACCTCTCATTCTCTACCACAATCATGATCTACCTCCAAACCCTTTATATTTACTAACTTCTCTAGCCATGAGTGAGATTTGCCTAGGTTTTCCACTTCTTCTAGTCCTTTATTCGTTTGAAAGTTTGGCTTTAGTCATATTTCTTACATAAAATATTCTTCTTCTCAAGATAGCTCTAATGTTATATATAAAAAAAAACAACTCACAAATCTTATTTCCAACAAAGATCCCTTATTATAACATGGAGTTGGCCAACCCTTTACATATTTCACTTTTTTTCCTTGCACATGCAACTTGGAATGTAAGACGTCTCCAAGGATAAGGGATAATTCCAGATAATAAAATCATTCTCAAGGCTATAACATGGATTTATCTTCTTTAAGAAACTAAAATCCATAAAAGTATTTTTAGTGAATCTACATCATTCAAAAAGCTTCAAATATTATTCCCCTCTTAATGGGATTGCCATAAATTCTTAGTTGCTCAAGATGAGGAAAATTTGATTAAGTTAAATTATGCAAGTATTCAATTTCATCACATTCTTCTGCAAACATGGTTCATTCAAGATTTGCTTAAATTGACAAATTAAATTTTTTTTTTTAAGTATGGACTATGATGATAATGCCATCACTGAACAAATTATTTTATAGAATTCTCTTAATATTTTAAGGCATTCTTATGATAAGATTGTAGAAATATCTCTTTGCACATGATTTCATCCTTCCAGTTCACCTCCAAGATTATTTTTTGTTTGGAGCTTTCCCTTCTCTTAATATAATAGCCGACATAACTCTCCTTTTCAAAGTAATTTAGGCGAAGCTTTATCAAATGACAAGTGGTTAGACTTATTCCAAAGCTCTTACTAAAAAACTTCACTTCATTTTGCATCCAATTATTCCGGCTTAAACATCTATTCATGAATTATTCCTTTTGTAAAACTCATTCATTTTTACAAATAGATGGGGCCAATATGAATCACATAATAAAATCTTGTGTGTCTTATATACATGGAGAAATTATCTTTTTCTAGCAATAATCTCGAAGAATTTAAGTTTAAATTTACATTTATGTTTTAAAATAATGTATAACAACCACACACAATCTTTTACTTGAGAAAAATAATATATTTTATCTATTTTGGAGCCTAATGTCACTTAAATATTACTATTCTTAGTTGTCAAATCTAATCAAGATGATTCGATTATGGATACTGTGTAAATACAAGTGAATTGTTCAATATCTACAGTGTCTTAGTTAACTAAACAACTATTTTTTCACCTTGAGATTAA